ATCATAGTCCATGCTTTAATACGGCTTCAAGTCCCATTTGCAAACTCATAGCAACATGATGTCTTCAGAGGCATTTCTTATAGACAAAGTACTTTCATATATATTATGATGATTATTAAAAACCGTGGGATACCATTTTATTCATGTGAAATTTATCACTTTGTTGCAAGCGACCTGCATCTGGTCTCACAGTGGTAAAGCCAGTGTTTAAAGCATTTGGCTTCTGGCCTGATGCTCATACCAACATCTGTGTTTCTAGTTTCAGTAAACTGACCTAAAAGATTCCAGTATTATAAGCTCTGGCTAGCAACTCAATAATGCTACTTGTCCAGGCAATCTTATAACAAATTGTTCTCCTGAAGCACCAGTTTCGATCAGTTATTAGTGGTACCTGGGTATGGAGTTCTGAACCCTTTAGTGGTTTAGTTTTTTTTTTTTTTTAAAAGTGCTGTGATCAATTAGTAATGTCTGCTATGGGTTTATTCCATGTGCTTAACTCTCCAGTAATTAGGTCAGCACAAATCTCAGACTGACTTTTAATGCTGACCTTTGTACAGCTCCTATGTAACACAAAATGGAAACGTTTCTAACTTGGGAAAAAGAATTTCCGCATATTTTGCAAGATTAGAAAGGGCCAAGCAAAAATACTGTTAGTCTCAAAGCCGTCTTGAGAAGAAAATTGGCACAAACAACTTTGCTTCTTTACTTTAGGGTGTGAACTTCTTTAGTCACAGTGTTTCTGTCCAGTGCAGCAACTGGGCAAACATTTAGTGGGTGGCTAGGTGAGGCATAGGTGTTTCTGTCCAGTCTGGCAACTGGACAAATACAGTGGGTGGCTAGATGAGGTATAGGTGTCAGGAACAGGTATGAGCATGAGCGAGAGGTGCTCCCTCCCTTAGCAAGGTCCTAGCCAGTAGAGATGGGCTTTCAGATGAAGAGGCAACTTTCAGTGTTCCATTTCTTTTTCCAGAGTGAAAATAACTTTCTCCTTGTCTTGGACGCCAAGAACATGGCAGAACTGGGGCGAGCGGAGGTATCTGTGCAGATGCCTTACGGGTTCCACGGCACGTTTGTACCCATCTGATGGCACAATCACAGGGTCTGAGAATCAAGTGCAGAGAGAAAACAATGGGTCTCACCCAAAACTAAAACCCCTGTGGGCTCATATTTTGAATGCTGTTCCCAACTTGTGACACTATTTTGGGAGGCTGAGGAAACTTTTGGGGGTGAGGCATCACAGGCACAAGGGACCAGCCTTTGAAGTCTCTGGTTCTCTCATGCCCTCTCTCTGCTTCCTGGTCCACTGCAATGTGAGCAGCTTTCACCCGTGCTCCCCATCCTGCCACTGATCCACCATGTCTTCCCACTATGGCCTGCTGATCCTCTGAAACTGTGGACCGAAGGAAATCTTTTCCCTTTAGTTGTTCTGTTGTTTGTTTTGCAGCAGTGATAAAATAACTAACACAGAACCTGGGTGTATTTTGTTTTACATTTCTATTAAAAACAGTTTATGAGGTAATTATGGCTTTATGTGTTTTAATGCCATTTTAAAGGATTTATTTTATGTGTATGAATGTTTTACCCGCATGCATATATAATATGGTGCCTGAAGAGGTTAGAATGGAATGTCAGATTCCCTGGAACTGGAGTTACAGATGGTTTTGAGCTTCCATGTGGGTGTTTTGATTTGCATTTCTCTGATGGATAAGGATATGGATAAGGATGTTGAGTATTTCCTTAAGTGTCTTTCAACCATTTTATATTCTTCTGTTGAGAGTTCTCTGTTTAGGTCTGTACTCCATTTTTTTTGTTGTTGTTGTTGACCAATTTCTTGAGTTCTTTGTATATTTTGGAGATCAGATCTCTGTCTGATGTGGGGTTAGTGAAGATCTTTTCCCATTCTGTAGGCTGCGTTTTGTCTTGTTGACCATATCCTTCACTTTACAGAAGCTTCTCAGTTTCAGGAGGTCCCATTTATTAATTATTTCTCTCAATGTCTGTACTACTGGAGTTTTATTTAGGAATTGGTCTCCTTGTGCCAATGTGTTCAAGTACTTCCCACTTTCTTTTTTCTTTTTTTTTTTAAATATTTATTTATTTATTATGTATACAATATTCTGTCTGTGTGTATGCCTGCAGGCCAGAAGAGGGCGCCAGATCTCATTACAGATGGTTGTGAGCCACCATGTGGTTGCTGGGAATTGAACTCAGGACCTTTGGAAGAGCAGGCAATGCTCTTAACCTCTGAGCCATCTCTCCAGCCCCCCCACTTTCTTTTCTATAAGATTCAGTGTGGTTGGCTTTATGTTGAGGTCTTTGATTCATTTGGACTTGAGTTTTGTGCATGGTGATAGATATGGGTCTATTTTCATTTTTCTATATGTTGATATTTAGTTATGCCAGCACTATTTGTTAAATATGCTTTCTTTGTTCCATTTTATATTTTTTCTTCTTTGTTAAAAATCAGGTGTTTGTAGGTATGTGGATAAATATCTGGGTCCTTGATTCGGTTCCATTGGTCCTCCTGTCAGTTTTTATGCCAATACCAGGCTGTTTTCAGTACTGTAGCTCTGTAGTAGAGTTTGAAGTCGGGGATTGTGATGCCTCCAGAAGACCCTTTATTGTATAGGATTGTTTTGGCTATCCTGGGTTTTTTGATTTTCCATATGAAGTTGAGTATCGTTCTTTTGAGGTCTGTGAAGAATTTTGCTGGACATTGCAGTAAATCTGTAGATTGCTTTTGGTAAGATCACTATTTTTACTATGTTAATCCTACCTACCCAAGAGCATGGGAGATCTTTCCATTTTCTTGTTGTCTTCTTTACTTTCTTTCTTTAAAGATTTAAAGTTCTTGTAATACAAGTCTTCCAGTTGTTTGGTTAGAGTTACTCTGAGATATTTTATGCTATTTGTGGCTATTGTGAAGGGTGATGTTTCTCTGATTTCTTTACCAGCCCTTTTATCATCTGTGTACAGGAGGACTACTGATTTTTTTTAGTTAATCTTGTATCCTGCTACATTACTGGAAGTGTTTATGAGTTGTAGAGGTTCCTTGGTTGAATTTTTGGAGTCGCTTATGGAAACTATCATGTCATCAGCAAACAGTGAGAGTTTGACTTCTTCTTTTCCGATTTGTATCCCCTTTATCTCCTTTTCTTGTCTTATTGTTCTAGCGAGGACCTCAAGAACTATACTGAATAGATGTGGAGAGAGGGGACAACCTTGTCTTGTTCCTGATTTCAGTGGAATCATTGTGAATCTCTCTCCATTTAGTTTGATGCTGGCTGTTGGCTTGCTGTGTATTGCCTTTATTATGTTTAGGTATGGTCCTTGTATCCCTGCTCTCTCTAAGACTTTTATCATGAAAGGATATTGTATTTTGTTGAAAGCTTTTCAGCATCTAATGAGATGATCATGTGGTTTTTATTTTTCAGTTTGTTTATATGATGGATTACGTTGACAGATTTTCATATGTTGAACCATTCCTGCATCTCTGGAATGAAGCCAACTTGATCATGGTGGATGATGTTTCTGATGTGTTCCTGGATTCGATTTGCCAGTATTTTATTGAGTATTTTTGCATCAATGTTCATGAGTGAGATTGGTCTGTAATTCTCTTTCTTAGTAATGTCTTTATGTGGTTGGACATCAGGGTAATTTTAGCCTCGTGAAAAGAGTTTGGCAATGTTCCTTCTGTTTCTTTTGTGTGGAATAATTTGAGGAGTATTGGTCTTAGTTCTTCTTTGAAAATCTTGTAGATTCTGAGCTGCAATCATCTGATCCTGGTTTTTTAATTTTTATTTATTTATTTATTTATTTATTTATTTATTTATTTATTTTTTGGTTGGGAGACTTTTGATGACTGTTTCTATTTCTTTACCAGTTACGGCCTATTTAATTTGCTTATCTGTTCTTGATTTAATTTTGGTAAGTGGTATTTATCCAGAAAGTTGCCAGAGACAGCAAAGCATAGCCCCTCCACTTGTGGTTCCTGAGATTCAGGAAGCAATTCCCTCCAAGCAACCCAGTGGTGGCTGAATGAGCATGTTACTTGAGGGCCAAGGAGAAAACACCTACGTGCCCCGAGGATGGCTTCTATGGCGTCTGCATACACATTTGGCAATGTTACAGATGATTCTGGCTATAGCAATTCTACTAGTGTACTTGTTCTTTATGTTCTTCTTCTCCTTCCACACCAGTGGCTTCTGAAAATATGGATGTGCTGTACAATAATATGAGTCTTCCTGATCTGATAGAGCGGGCAGGCATTGAAGCTGTAAAGCAGGTTATGGATGAAAGAATTGGGGAAATTTGGGAAAAATGCAGAAATTGTTTTTTACCTGGTTATAAAACTTGGCAAAGGATTATACTGAAACAAAAGAACTTGGCTATAATGAATAAAGTTTCTGAGGAACCTAGGATTTTTAGGGCTGACTGCCTATAGCCTTATAAATCAAAGTTGGAATTGTGAGGAACAATGGGAAAGGTAAGACAATGGAGTAAAACACACTGAACTATGCTTCTGTAACTGCAAATAGTTAGCCTCTGAGGTGAAAGCCTCAGAAGCTGTTTTATGTTTAACTCAGCTAAGAATTAAGAATATAGTAGCTGGCATGAGGCTTGGGAACTGGGAAAATGTCATATTGAATGATGTTTTGATTTCAAAGAATCTTTGTACTTTTTGTGAACTGCTCTGCCCAGGTAATGATTAACCTATGGCAAGAAAACAGAATCATTTTCCTTGTGTAAAATTTGCAATAAAAGACTGAGGTTTGAAGCTCAGGGCAGAAGAAGTAAGAAGAAAGAAAGAAGAAGAAGCAGAAGAAGAACAAGTAGAAGAAGCTGCCCTGCAGCTGATAGCCTGTCATCTTGCATCAGAATCCTGTGTTCCTGTACTTATTTCGCCTTCCAGACATCCCACATTCGAGACACACTTCTCTGCTGAGGTCCCTGGCAGAAATTTGTCCATTTCCTTTAAGTTTTCCAATTTTGTGGAGTACAGGTTTTCGAAATATGACCTAATGATTCTCTGGATTTCCTCTGTGTCTGTTGTTATGTCCCCCTTTTCATTTCTGATTTTGTTTGGTTAGTGTGGATAAAGGTTTGTCTATTTTGTTGATTTTCTCAAAGAACCAACTCTTTGTCTCATTGATTCTTTGTATTGTTTTCTTTGTTTCTATTTTGTTGATTTCAGCTCTGAATTTGATTATTTCCTGCTGTCTAGTCCTCCTGGGTGAGTTTGCTTCTTTTTGTTCTAAAGTTTTCAAATGTTCTGTTAATTCACTAGTGTGGGATTTTTTCCCAGCTTCTTTATGTAGGCATTTAGTGCTATGAACTTTCCTCTTAACACTGCTTTTATTGTGTTCCATAAATTTGGGTATGTTGTGTGATCATTTTCGTTACATTTTGGGAAGTCTTTAATTTCTCCCTTTTTGACCCATTGATACTTCAGGTGAGCATTGTTTAATTTCCATGTGTTTGTGGACTTTCTGGTTAGTGTTGCTGTTGAATTCTAATTTTAAGCCATGGTGATCCGATAAGATACATGGAGTTATTCTAATTTTTGTATCTGTTGAGGTCTATTTTGTTACCTAGTATGTGGTCAATTTTTGAGAAGGTTCTATGAGGTGCTGAGAAGAAGGTTTATTCTTTTATGTTTGCATGGAATGTTCTATAGATATCTGTTAAGTCCATTTGAGTCATAACATCTGTTAGTTCCCTTATTTCTCTGTTAATTTTTTTTTTTGTCTGACAGACCTGTCCAGTGGTGAGAGTGGAGTATTGAAGTCTCCCACTATTAGTGTGTGGGGTTTATTGTATGATTTAAGCTTTAGAAGTGTTTCTTTTACATATGAGGGTGACCTTGTTTTGGGGGCATAGATGTTCAGTATTGAGATTTCCTCTTGATGGATTTTTCCTGTGACTAATATGAAATGTCCTTCTTTGTCTTTTTTGATTGATTCTAGTTTGAAGTCTATTTTGTTAGATATTAGGATAGCTACACCTGCTTGTTTCTTAGGTCTGTTTGATTGAAAAAAATTTTTCCCAACTCTTTACTCTGAGGCAATGTCTGTCTTTAAGGTTGAGGTGTGTTTCTTGTATGCAGCAGAAGGATAGATTCTGTTTTCATATCCAATCTGTTGTTAGCCTGTGTCTTTTTATAGGTGAGTTGAGTCCATTTATATATTAAGGGATATTAATGACCAGTGATTTCTAGCTCCTGTTAATTTAGTTTTCGTTGTTGGTGATGTTATTTTGTGTGTTTTTCCCTACTTTAGGATTTGCTGCTGTGAGAGCATCAATTGTCTGTTTTTGTTGATGTAGCCAACTTCCTTGGGTTGGAGTTTTCCTTCTAGTACTTTGTGGGGCTGGGTTTGTGGGTAGGTATTGGTTAAATCTGGTTTTGTGATGGAATATCTTGTTTTGTTCTTCTATGGTGATTGAAAGTTTTACTGAGTATAGCAGTCTGGGCTGGCATCCATGGTCTCTTAACATCTGCATAACGCTTGACCAGGACCTTCCGACTTTCATTGTTTCCATTGAGAAGTCAGGTGTAATTCTTATAGGTCTGCCTTTATATGTTACTTGGCCTTTTTCCTTTGCAGCTCTTAATATTCTTTCTGTATTCTATATACTTAGTATTTTGATTATTATGTGGCAAGGGGACTTTTTTTTTTATCTAGTCTGGTGTTCTGTAAGCTTCTTGTATCTTTTAGGCATATCTTTCTTTAGGTTGGGAAAGTTCTTCTATGATTTTGTTAAATATATTTTCTGTGCTTTTGAGTTGAGCTTCTTCTTCTATACCTATTATTCTTAGCTTTGGTCTTTTCATGATGTCCCATATTTCCTGGATATTTTGTATTAAACTTTTGTTGGATTTAATGTTTTCTTTGACTGATGCGTCTGTTTCCTCTATTGTATCTTCAGTGCTTGAAATTCTCGCATCCATCTCTTGTATTCTGCTGTTCATGCTTGCATTTGTGGCTCCTCATTGTTTTCTCATGATTTCTGTTTCTATAATTACATTGGCTTGCATTTTCTTTATTGTCTCTATTTCAGTTTTCAAGTCTTGAATAGTTTCTTTCATAAGTTTGATTTGCTTTTTCTTGGTTTTCTTGAAAGGGTTTATTGATGTCTTCCAATTTTTTGTTTGTCTTTTTCTTCATTTCTTTGAGGGAATTTTTCATTTCTTTTTTAAGGGCCTCAAACATTCTCCTAAAGTTTTTTTTTAGGTAATTTTCTTATGCTTCATCTATATTTAGTTGTTCAAGTCTTGCTGTTTTAGGGTCATCAGTTTTTACTGGTGTGTTGCTCTTTGTGGTATTGCATGTGTTCTTACCTTGTCTACTCATCTTTTCCTCTGATAGGTGTGGTTGGGGCTGTCTGTGACTGGGGATCAATCTTCCAGGTGCCAGTGGATCCAAGGCTCAGATGGTGTTCTTGTGCTGCAGTCATGGCCACAGTTCCAGTCACCATATTGGTCACTCCATGTTCCTGGAGATTGCTCGGTGCTCCCGGAGTTTGCTGTGCAATACCAGGGGTCGTTCGGGCCTGCATCCACAGAGATTTCTTGCTTGTGGCTCTTTCTGCTGAGGTTGCTGCCTTGGGCCTGCTCTGGCAGAGGTCCTGGCTCAGGCCTACTCCCTCGATGGTTCCAGATCCATGCCCTGGACCCGCAGAGGTCTCTGGTTCCAGCCTATTCCCTCGGATGTCCCAGACTTGTGTCTGGACCCTCAGAGGTCCTGGCTCAGGCCTACTCCCTCAGCAGTTGCTGCCTTGTACCTGCTTCTGTGGAGTTCACTGTCTCAGTCCTGTTTCTGTAAATGTTCCTGGTCTGGATCTGCTCCTGAGGAGGTCCCTGACTTGGGATTGGTCCCACAAAGGTCTCTGGCTCTGGTATATTCCCTCGGAGGTCCCAGACTCACGCCTGGTCCCCAAGAGGTCCTGGCTCAAGCCTACTCCCTCGGAGGTCCAAGACTCATGCCCTGTGGGTGTTGGGAACTGAGCCCAGGACCCCTAAAAGAGAAACAAGTACTCTTTATTACTGGGCCATCTCTCCAGCCCCTTTATATATATATTTAAAAATATTTATGTGTTTGTGTGTGACTGTGTGTGCAGGTATGTGTAAGTGAATACAGTTGCCTGTGGAGACTTGGTGTGGTGTTGGCATCAAACTTGGGTCCCCTGCAAGAGTAGTGTGCATGCTTTCAACTGCTTAGTGCTCTCTTCAGCCCTGGTTTTATATTATCTTAGGGCTATTTCTTGAAACCATCACACAAGCATCAGTATAGTATTTAAAGATTTTTATTATTTATTGTTACTGTATTGTGTCTATGGACAGTGTGTGTATATGTGCAGACATGGAGCGCTCAGGGAGGTCAAAAAACAACTTTCTTCAGTAGGTTCTCTCCTTCCACATGGGGACTTCTGGCCAATCCTCCATTCTCTATTTTGCATCTCCACGTGGGAGTGTGGGGTGATGGATACAAGGCATTGCATTTGGCCTTTTGTGGGTTGTGGATCAAACTCAGGTCATCAGGATCACCTCACAAGCACATTTACCCTCTGAGCCATCTTGTAAGCCCCGGGGAATATTTGGAAGATAGTTTACATTTATTGAACATGTTTCCCTAGCTAAAAGAATACATGAAAAGGGGCTGGCAAGATGACTCAGCAGGTAAAGGTACTTGTAGTGCAAGCCTGGTGACATGGGTTTGGTTCCTGGAACCCACATAAAGATGGAGGGAGATAGTTGACTCTACAAAGCCATCTTTTGACCCCATATATGTGCTGTGACACTTGTGCTACCCCCCTCCCCCACACAATTTTTGTAAAAGGAATACACACAAATAAAATCAGAATAAAATTAGGTCATTACCACTACCACATAGGTGATCAGAGGGCCTGGGAGAAGTACAAGTAATCAAGGATGGTAGACTTAGAGCAGTGATTCTCAACCTCCTTACTGCTGTGGCCCTTTAATATAGTTCTTCATGTTGTGGTGACAACCCCCACATCATAAAATTTTTTATTGCTACTTTATAACCGTAATTTTGCTACAGTTTTGAACCATAATGTAAATATCAGTGTTTTCCAATGGTCTTAGGTGACCCCCATGAAAAGAGCAATCAATCCAAAGGGGTCGCAACCCATGGTTGAGAACCGCTGGCTTAGAATCTAGACCAGCACCTTTCTCTCTCCGAGTCTGTAACAGGTCACGGTCTGCTTGTTACAGTTGGTCCTAGGTGTTTGGGACGAGAAGCTAGTACTGTGTTGTTTGGTGGCCTCTGGACTGGGTGTTTCTCTAATGCCTGTGGCAAATGCTATGCTAATTCACTTCAGTTTTCCTCTTCCAGGCCACCACTACCCTCCCCGTCTTGCCTCTGCTCAGTCTTCAGAGGGGGTTGTTTTGTGGGACATTGCTTCATGCAGGTGTTTATTCAAATCTCCAGATAGATAGTTTTCCAGCTATTGATGAAAATCAGAAGGTTCTTTACTTAACTGGGCAGCAGGGGGCAGTAGAGACCATATAATCTTCACATTTCCAAGCCCTGTTTTTTACCAACAACCTTCCAGTAAAGGCAAGCTCTCCGAATCTCTGTTTTCTTTTCTTTCAGTTGCCCTGTGTCTGAACTTTTTTTTTCATCTTTGCTTCATAGTTTTTAATTACAGATATTTTTTATTTATTTATTTATTGAAGATTTCTGTCTCTTCCCCACCACTGCCTCCCATTTCTCTCCCCCTCCCCCAAAAAAGTCCCCTCCCTCGTCAGTGTCTGAACTTTAATCATAGCTCAGTTATACTGCCTAGGACCTTCTGCCTGTTCTTTGTTCCTGAAGAAGCCCTCGGAGATGTGATATGGACACGTGTTAACTTACAGTTAGGGTCATGGAATGTCAGTTTCTTCTTTAAATTTCTGTAGGGATTATTCTAAACTCCATTAACCCTTTCCTTTCCAGTGAAGTGTTCCTTATATAGAAGTGCCTGTATAGAGGTTTGCATCACATTACAATAACTAATAAGGGCTAAATCTCACGTGAGGTTTTATGAGAGGCAGGTAGACAGGGCTAACAGCAGATGTGGGAGTGTGGAGGCCGGAACATTGAGAGAGTAAGTCCCTTGATGTTCACTGAAGTCTATGGGGAACGGGGAGGATCATTCCTGTATTTCCTCAGACAAAACACAGAGGCTTAATATATCCTGTCTAAACATGGAGGTTGATGAGGTCTCCGACTTCTGGGAAGCACACAGATCTGAAGGCATAGGGACCTTTACTTCATCTCAATACAGGTGCGATGTTCAGGGTACAAGTAAGAGGAAAGGAAGAATGAGAGGGCCTGCTCCTGGCTCGGCTTTGCTACACAGAAGCAACATACATAACAGAACGGAAGCTGGCCAGGGCCGATGAGGTGGAGAGTTTGGGCTTTGAGCTTTCTTCTTTCATTTTTTTTTCCTATATGCATAGCTCCAGAGAGTAAGCCACCACTATCTGAGCAAACAGGACTCAGTTGTACCGAAATGTTATTCAAGCAGTTGGAAATTCCTTTCTCTTGGAGAGGAAGTAGATGGGAAGAAGGTAGGACCTCTTTCCCTCTATTCGTAAAAACAAGCAAACAAACAAAACACATTCACAGTACTTTGGTCTGCAATCAATATTTCCAATAGAGTTTCTGCCTCGTATCCCAAGGTAGCCAAGAATTTGTCACTATACAAACCACACCTCCATGTTTCATTTGCTTTGACTCTTCCCCTCCTGGAATTGATTATTTACCCACCTGTTGGACTCCTTAAAACCCAGCCCAGAACAATTTGGTCTCAGAAGCTTTCTTTTACCCTCTGAGGCAGAATTAGTAATCTTTCTCTTGCCACATTACCTGTTTGACTCCCCCATTAAACTGGACTTTCAGACGACAGGGACCATTTTGCTGTTCTGAGGTGCGTGTGTCTGATACTTAAAGCATCTGGCGCTGAGATCTTAGGTAAACACATTTTAAATTCAAGTTTTTGATTTACTGAGTGAATGGGGTGATGACTGTGGGGGCTGCTTTGCCAAAGGTGCGCATTTGGATCACTTACAGGATTTTACTCTTTCGCAATGGACTTTGAGCTCCCCGTCCTTCTGTCTCAAGCCCTAGTGCTGGGATTACAGGTGCACGCCACACCTGACTCCCTGACAGCCTCTAAAAGGTGCTGACCTTCTGAGACAGAAGATCCAAACACAGCCAGTGAAGGCTGCTCCAGAGCAGTGGGGATTACACCCGACTGCCCTTTCGTTTCACCGCCCTGAAAACCATCTATCTAAAACCAGTATTGGCTGGTTCCTTCAGGCTGAGGGTTCTGAAGGGTGTGTCTGTTTTCAGGCCTGCGTCTGGTTTGGGAAGGTCGTTGCGTGACATTCTTTCACCAGCATAGTGCAGTGTCAAAGTCCTCCCCACCCCGCTTGAGCTACTATACTTGTTTTACTATATTGCCTAGAATAGAACTCCTGAAATCAACCCTCAGGGCTCAGTCTCCAGACTAACTCTGCTAACAATGCACTGTTATCATTGGCTAGAATTTCCTCACACCCAGTGTGGTACTGGGCTGGAGCGCATCTGGTAAGGGCACCCGGCCGCTGGATTTTTTCTATTCTAATCCAGGGCTATCAAAAATAGAGTGACAGGGGAAGACTCCAACTATCCGGGGCAACTTAAAAATCCAGGCCTCTGGCTCTCACCCACTCGCTGCCCCAGGGTATTTCTAACTGCCTGGAAAAGACTGAACAGGAGGAGGCACAGAGAGTCTGCCTCTAGATGTACTGAGGGGCTCCAAGTGCCGAAACCACTCCAGGAGCGCTTCCGGCGGGGAGGGCCGACCTTGCACTGCGCAGCCGCGGAGGGCGGGACTGGCCTCGGCCGGGGAAGCCGGAAGCGCAGGTTGCTCCGGGGTCTCGGGCCTGAAGACCATGAGTGCGGCTGGGGGCCTTTGTCGCCGCGCGCGACTGTCACGCCTCGTGTCCTTCAGTGCGAGCCACCGGCTGCACAGGTGGGGTGTGATCACGTGTGTCACCGCAAGTGCGGGGCTTTTCCCGCTAAGTCTCAGATCGGGGGCGTGGCCACACGCGTGGGTTAGAGCCGATCTGGGGTGAGCGGAAGAGGAAATGGTGAAGGTGTGGGGCTGCATTGCTGGGCCTCACCCAGAAGGGGGCGGCAGAGCTCTGATCCCGGAGGCTCCACTGGCGAGGTTCCTTCTGTGGGCTGCCCCAAGTTGAGAGTCATGCAGCTCGCCGGCATCACATAGTACCCAGCACAATGACCTACCGGATGCAACACAGGGTAGTACCCCCTCCTTTTTTTCTTTTCTTCTCTTTCTTTCCTTCCTTCCTTCCTTCCTTCCTTCCTTCCTTCCTTCCTTCCTTCCTTCCTTCTTTCTTTCTTTCTTTCTTTCTTTCTTTCTTTCTTTCTTTCTTTCTAGCGAGTGGCACGCTTGATTATTGAATCCCAGATACCCAAGGCCACACCTTAGAGATGGTTTTGATGGAAGCTTCATTACTGACTCTCTGAACCTCGGTTTCCTTGTCTGTGGGATGAGAACAGTCATTTCTAACAGTATCCACCCACTTCCTGCCGGACAAGGCTTTGTTCCGTGCTGGAAGGTCAGGATATGGCAGAGAAAATCACATACTTGTCGCCGCCCCGTGTGTGGAGTTTAAAATGTTTTGTATAGTGAGAGAATTTTTTGTAGAAGCCTATGAACTGTAGTGTTCTCCAAGTGTGAGCCGGAGGAAATCAGTGAAATGAGAAAGATCTTAAGGAATTTAAATTGAAATTTGAAAAATCGTGTTGCGTGTGCTGGCGTGTTAGGTGCACAGCTTGCATGAAGGAGCATATGGAAGCCAAAAGAGGGCATCAGATTCCTTGGAACTGGAGTTACAGGCAGGTGTGAGCTGTCATGTGGGTGCTGGGAACTGAACCTCGGCCCTCTGTGATGGCAGTAAGCACTCTTAACTGCTAAGGCCCTCAAAGAGATTTTTATAATGGGAAGCTAAGGATGCAGAAGGTAAGGAGTTGGCTGAGTTGGTGTAGATAGGCGAATCCATTGAGTACATTGTTTTCTGTCCAAAATAACAGGTGTTTGTAGTAATTTTAAAGTTTTGCCTAATTTGAGTAACCTAAGTCTTGACATACTGGTAAGGTTTCAGTTAGCAGTAGGTGAGGCAGAGATGAGCCTGAGGTCATGTTTTTCAGGAGAAACAGCTTTTTAAGCTGCTGAGGGACAAGTGTCTCTTGTGCTTCTCATTGCTCCCTGCTCCGTTCTGCCTCGCCCCGTGGCTAACACTCAGTGTTCGTTGAGAGTTTGGAGGTGGGCTGTAGCTCGGTAGGTAGAGGGCTTGGCCAGCATGTGCCCGGGATCCATCCCCCAGCCCTGTATGAGTCAGTGTGTGCTACCAGATCCCGGAATTGTGAGGTGGAGGCAGGAGGATCGGAAGTTCAAAGTCACTCTTAGCTACATGGTGACTTTGAGGCCAGCCCAGGATATAGGAGACCTTGCCAAAAGAGAGCACACGCTGACTGTGAGTGAATTTGTTGGAATCTTGCTGTGGAACAGGTAAGTTGAAATTAAAGTTTTTGATATTTTTATGTGGTACTGTAGTTAATTAGGGAGTGTCCGTTGGTTCTTGATGGAAATGTGGATAATGAAATCCAAGTGATCTATTTAGTTCATCATCTAAAGTGAAATTAAGTTGTAAAGTCTTCAAAACCCAGAGCAGACCTAACAGAGGAATTTGACTTTACCTGACTTCGGGTGTCTTACTGCGTGCCGCACACTGACTTTTTGTGTGTTTCTTTTGTCAGCCCGTCTCTGAGTGATGAAGAGAACTTGAAAGTGTTTGGGAAATGCAACAATCCCAATGGCCACGGGCACAACTATAAAGGTGAGGGAGGACCACGTTAGTTTTTATCCTGTCAGTCAGAGCGGAGCATGTGTGATGAGTAACAGGGTCATGGTGAGAAGCCTGTGGACAGTCAGTGCTCTGAGCCCTCAGTAGAAACTCAAGGCCAAGAGCTCTGGTCTTGGTTGGGTAAGTGTTATGGTTTGCTTTACAGTTGTCTGCTCTGCTAGAGATAGTACAAAACAACAGCAACAAAAGTGATTTACATCATTTTTTTACACATTTGAATGCACAATAAAACTGCTGTTAGCCGTTTCCTTTTTATTAGGTAGAGCTGAAACTAATGTTAAAATTTTTTATAATCAATGTTTGAGGAGACAGATATGTCTAACCTGATTTAAACATCATATATATATATACATATGTATGTATATATGTGTGTGTATATATATGTGTGTGTGTATATATATATGGATTGACACATCAAATAGTACCCTCATGTATCAGTTAAAATTTAAAATTAAAAAACCTTCATAGCAAAATAAAATTTTATTCTTTTGAGTAGATAATGGCCAGTGAAAAGGGTCGGTTGCTTAGGGATATATTGTATGGCAGAAAAGTAGTTTCTTTATAAGACTTTGCTGGCAGTATTCTAAGAAAGCAGTCTGTGGGAGGAAAAAGGACATTATTCTTTAAGACATGCCTGATGCCTCAAAGCATGCTGCATAAGCCCTGGCGTATGGCAGTGTGTGGTAAGGTGGGGTTCCGTAAGGCTTCAGGAGATCCCAAGTTCTGGTTTAGTTCCTGACTCTTTTTTTCTGAGATACCCTCCCGACCTCAGTGTATTTACTCACCATGGAATAGCCAGTAGTGTTTGTGTGGGGTGGAAAAAATATGAAAGTGTAAAAGTCATTCCTTTGTAGAGGTGCTCACCGAGTTTTCAGATGCTTCACGGGAAGGCCTGCTGCTTTTCAGCAGAGCATTCTTGTGAGCCGAGTACACATTCTTGACAGTAAAGACGAACAACGAACACTTTGCCCGTGGAGGGATTGGGTCAGTTCGGGACAGAGCTGGGCATGCATTTCCACTTTTCCAGGAAGGCACTGAGTGACATCTCTCTCCTCCCAAGGCATCAGCCTTATAAGCAGAATTCACACCTTCTGTGGGGGTTGGCTTGTTTCCTCCGCTCAGCCAGAGCTCTGGCCAAGCTCCTCTGGACTGAGTTGTACACTGATTGATGAAAAAATTTGAACTAAAAGAATAGATATTTGGAGAAGAGTTGAAGGATAGCCTTGGGGGCCAGAGAGCTAACAATTTATGTTGCTGACTTGTGTCTATATGCTGAGTCACTGAAAATCATACTTTTTTGTTGGTATTTTTGTTTTCTTTCCCGTAGTTGTGGTGACAGTACATGGAGAGGTACGTGCTGGAAATGGTGTGTGGATTTGTTCAGATTGCTGGGCCATCTTCCAGACACTGGTGAAATCTGTGTTGAAAGCTTGTGTTTCAGTGGCTTCACCGCTGGCCTTTCTGTGTGGTGAGCTGCTGCTGCGCCAGGCCTCTCTGCTGCTTACAGATGGGCAGAAGATCCATTCAGGGATAAGGGTGCTGGAAGTACATGGTGCTTCTTCACTGACAGTGATAAGTGTCCCTAGGATAAAGGAAAGTGTGGGCACAGTCTGCATGTTGTACAGCCTTTATTAACTTACAGAGTTGTTTTACTTTTGAGACAGGATCTCATGTAGCCTACTAGGCTGGACTTGAACTTCTTGTGTATCCTGGAAAGGCTTTGAACGCCTGGCCCTGCTGACTCTGTTTTGCACGTGCAGAGATCACAGGCGTGAGCCACCCACCCAGCTTTGTGAAAGTGTAAATATGGAGAGCCTACTAGAGTGAGAGATACCTTTTTTTCTCCCTCAGATCGATCCTGTTACAGGAATGGTTATGAATTTGACTGACCTCAAAGAATACATGGAGGTAATGTCATATTGAGTGGTTATTATGTGATATCCCCTCAGAATAATTTTTAGTACCCCCTGTCTGCCTTATTTCTTGAGATGCCATGACTTTTATGAGTTGGGGTAGGTGGGAGAGTGGAGAGGGTTTGTGAACTGTTTCTTGATCTTCTGAGGTCTTCTTAACAGAAAGTGGAAGTTGTTGTAGTGTGGGAAGAATGTCACATGGTCATCTACTTTTCATTGGAAGAGATTCATTTTTTTATTTATCAAATTCTATCCTTTTTTTTTTTTTACAACACAGCCTTTTCTTCGAAGCCTTTGCTAGTTGTACCATTGATTATAAAATTTTTCAAAGCACATGTTTGTTTGTTTGTTTGTTTTTAAGACAGGGTTTCTTTGTATAACAAACAGCCTTCGCTATCCCGGAACTTGCTTTGAAGACCAGACTGGCCTTGAACTCACTGAGATCGAGAGATCCACCTGCCTCTGTCTGCTGAATGCTGGGATTAAGGAAATGTGCCACCATGTCCAGCCTCTTTTTCGTTTTTTAAAGATTTAATTTTAATTATGTGAATCAGCTTTTTATAGCTTAAATATTGGAAACACAAAGATGAATTGCGGAGTCTAGTTCCATAAATAACAAGTGTAGTTGACTGTGTAGAGCCTGGGAGCCGTGGATCTCTGTAAGCTGAAGCGACAGGTGGCAAGAGCTGTCCCAGGTGGGTTCTGGAAACCCAACTTGGATCCTCTGAAAGAGCATCAAGGGCCCTTACCGATCTTGAATCATCTCTGCAGCCCCAAGAGCACACTTACTTAACAACTGTGGCTTTATGCTAAGTTACTGAGACAATTCATGATAGAGATAACACATCAGATTATATTCAGTAAAAACTTCTTGATTGTGTTAACCTAAAACTTCTGTTACAAGAGATTTTAGAGATTATTTATACCAGTTTCTTCATTCCATAGATTTAAACTGATGGTTGCTGGACAGTTAACTCCATTGCCCCAGGTCATTCTCATTCACAAAGTTGAGAATTTTTTTCACTTGTTTCCATTATCCCACCATCAACCTGTTTGTTTAGTTCTTCAGTGCAGCTTACTTTATTCTCAAGGTTGACAGTATTTGTAAAACAGTGTTACTAATAATTACTTTCTCATATTGTTCATGTTTTTGACAAATTTGTTTCTTTGCCTCATTTTAAAAAGCTATTTATTAAAAATACAAAGATGAATGAATGAGACATAACCCACAGAACATACACATTACCTTTTCTAGGAGGTAAAGAATAATAAGTGATCAAAAATTATTGAGTGAGGGAGTGAAAGAATGAGTGAATAGCTCTGTGCTTGTTAGTTAAGAGAACTTCTAAAGACGGGGCTTTGCACTGACAGGGTCACAGAACATATATACACGTTCTGTGCGCTGTAAGACAACAGTGTGAGAAGCCTCGGCAGTCACGGATTGAATGCTTAGGGAGCTCTTGGGATTGTCTTCCTCCTTTGGTTGCCTAGATTAATACACACTCCCACCAGTAAAAGTGACCTCCTGTGGCTGTAGACTGAAGTTGGAGTACCGAAGGAACTGCAGTGGAGAAGTGGGGGCAGAACTGGGAGTGAACATATTTTCTTGGTATTTACATTTCTCCATCTGATTTATGTTTAAACATTAGCTGGTTTAGGAGTTGACTTAGGACTCACTCTTTTTGTATGATTCCAGTTCTGCTGAAGAAAACCAGTGATTGGTGAACCTTGAGATCAGAGCAGGTGGAAAATTAGCTTGTTTCACACGTGCTTAAACTTTTGTAGAAGAGCTAATGATAAAAATTTAGAAAGAAGCCGGGTGGTGGTGGTGGTGTCTTTAATCCCAGCACTCAGGAGGCAGAGGCTGGTGGATCTCTGTGAGTTAGAGACCAGCCTGTTCTGCAGAGTAAGTTCCAGGACAGGCACCAAAGCTACAGAGAAACCCTGTCTTGAAAAACAAAAAACAAAACAAAAAAAAAAAAAATTAGAAAGATTAAGGAAATCACAGTCTTTTCTAATGACAAGAAGAAACATTATGTTAGTATATGTAACTGTCAGGAAGTGATAATCCCACGTTTATTTTTTCTTCTAAGACAGAAGATCATTGGCAAATTATTCTTTGGGTCAGAAATTTAGAAAATGTCCATTATTTTAGACCAGGTCTTAATGACACAGGGCACCATTCTGTAGGTGGATCCGTGCTGTGGAAGACTGTTGCTAGTGCTTCTAGAATTCAAGACGTGCTAAACTGTGCCGTGAATCACGATGGCTCTGTTTCTAGGAAGTTCCAGGAACTCTCTGTTTTTGTGGTTTCTTCTGTCTGCATCAGGAGCAAGGAAACACAGTCATTACAGGAACTAGGTCTAACTTTGTTTCACAGCCTTGTAAGACTGCTCCCCAGTGTTGAGTCTTGGCTAAATAAGGGGAGGCTCAGAGACTTAGCAGGAAGGAGCCCTTTGCTGTTAGAGTCCTAATCGAGCATGATGCTATTCCCTCCTGTCTGCAGGAGGCCATCATGAAGCCCCTTGATCACAAGAACCTGGACCTGGATGTGCCGTACTTTGCAGATGTTGTGAGGTGTGTGGCACTGTCTCACTTTGAGCTGTAGAAATGAAACAAATAACATTTCGTGTGATTATTGTGCTATTTCTAAAATAATGGTGTGATAGTAGATGCTGTTTTAGAATTCCTGTTTTCTACATATATTAAAATAATTTTTTTCATTATTTGTATTTTGAACTTTTTTCTTTTCTTTTCTTTTTTTCTTCAGCACGACAGAAAATGTAGCTGTCTATATCTGGGAAAGCCTCCAGCAACTTCTTCCTAGAGGAATACTTTATAAAGTAAAAGTGTATGAGACAGACAACAACGTTGTCATATATAAAGGAGAATAGGTCTTAGAGTTGAATTATAGAGAGGCTGACTGCTTTTCTTAGTTGAAGAAGCTCTTTGTCCCTTTAGACTATCCAGCAGTCATCACATACTTGTGTCTCTACATTGTGTTCTGGATTGCCTGAGCGTTTAAATGTGTAAAGTCCACATTTAAATGTATTTAAATACCAAACTTAAAATATATTTTTAGTGAGGAAGCAGGGGAGAGCTGAGGACTGAACCAGGGTCTCACCCACGCCAAGCATTCTGAACTGCTTGCTTGTGATGGTGGTGTATTCCAATCCTCTCTGTGCCATTTAGAGATCTGTTGTCTAGAGATTAAAAATTATTTCATTCTCAGCAGAATGCTTTGGTGTGGAATTATTTAGAGACAAAATAAACCCATTTTCATTATATGTATTCTCTGTTATCTGTCTCATTTTTAGCATTTGTTTCTTCTTGGTATAATATAAATAGCAAAAATGTTTATGCAATTTATAGAATGTAAGCCTTAGGGGAAAATTTAGAGGGGCATAAAGTCTGGAGACTATATTTCTTTTTAAGAGTTTAGTTATTTTTAATCGTGTGTGATGATATATATATATATAGTTTATTTTTCATAATATATGTAGTTTATTTTGGGGTTATGGCCCATTTGTAATTTATTTATTGATTGATCTTAAATAACTCAGATTTTTCAATGAAAGCTTCTTATCAGTAAAATGAGAAAAATGTCTACCTTACCTGGTATTTGTAGAACCTGAAAGACAAAGTACCTTCTAAAGTAATAGCAGCAATTCTGCCTTTCAAGTAATCAGTATAAAATATTACACACAAATAAACTTTTTGGCAACTGAAACATAGTAATTAACTAAGTGGGCATTGCATTGTCAGAATTTATAATAAAAGTCCTTTCTTTAGCCTCCGTGGCTCTATTTTTCTGCATGTGCTTGTGGAATCATAAGCAATGCTTAAACCCTCTCAATGTTCATTAGGTGGCCCATTCTGAGAATCTGGTGTATACTATTTGTGATGGGAAGAGAAATACAAAGCCCTATACTTAGGAAGTTTGGAAGCTTGGTGATGGTGGTGCACGCTTTTAATTCCAGCATTCAGGAGGCAGAGGCAGGTGGATCTCTGTGAGTTCGAGGCCAGCCTGGTCTACAAGAGCTAATTCCAGGACAGGCTGCAAAGCTACAGAGAAATGGCTGAATGGTGGTGGTGCACACCTTTAATCCCAGTATCGGGAGGCAGAGGCAGGGGGATTGCTGTGATTTCAAGGCCTTCCTGGTCTACAGAGTGAGTTCCAGGACAGCCAAGGCTACACAGAGAAATCCTGTCTCAAGAAAGAAATAATAATAATAAATTAGAGAGAGAGAGAGAGAGAGAGAGAGAGAGAGAGAGAGAGAGAGAGAGAGAGAGAGAGAGAGAGAGAGATTTAAGTCTCTAGGGACTGGAGAGGTGGCTCAGAGGTTAAGAGCTCCTATTCCTCTTCCAGAGCACTAGAGTTGATTCTCAGCATCTGCATCAAGTGTAAAACAGCCTGTAACTCCAGCTCCATGGAATCCTATGTCTCCTTTGGCCTCCATGGTCGTCTACACGCATGTCGTCAGGCTTTACCCCAGATGCTTTTGCCTAGTTAGAGATCTTGTTGGCTCCAAGATAACATTTGCTTATTCTATTTGCTCTCCTATTAAAATCTGTCTGTCTTTCTATATCTCCCTGAATGAGTGAGTGAATTAGTGAGTGTTCGTTGAAAAATCCAAAGATACTATACTTTGTACTGGTGTCTTGTTTTTCGTGGGGAACCAGAGTGACCCAAGACGTTCCCAGGTTCTGATGAAAGGACAAAGGGAACTCTAGTCTTTGTCCTTGTCTAGGAATGGTCTCAATTTGCCAGTCTAGTGCTGGAGAGGTGGCCCAGCCATTAGAAAGGCTAGGCTCACAACAGAGAAAGACAGAAGCCTAGATAGCTCAGTCTGTAGCGCGTGAGACTTTTAATCTCAGGATCAGGGATTCGAGCCCCATATTGGGCTCCACTTGATCCAAACCAGCAGCAATACTGACTCTCAACTTCGAGTTCTGAGGGAGGGCCAGAGATGAGAAATAAAGATGACAAAAAAAAAAAAAAAAAAAAAAAAAGGGCTAGGAGGGCTTGTATAAGTTGACTTATGCCACAACTTTATTAAGAGGTATAGCGTCGTTATACTATATGCAGGGGAGACATCACTAGGGTCAGCAAAGAGCTAAGTCAGATGATGGCAAAGGGAAAATGGGATACCTCAGATAGAGCTGCCTGAGGACTGATAGCCACAGCCCCAGGGCAAAAGTCAGGTTCCCAGAAGCCGCAACCTTGGCTCAAGGCGTTAGCTCCAGCCCTAGTCAGGCCTTGCCAAGTCCACTCCTGGACTAAGACATGGAACTAAGGCTCTTTTTGTCTTTTCACTGGGGCCTTTGAGGAAGTTGTGAGTCAGTCTGGCTCCCCACATTTCTCTTTCAGAGGCAACATCAAACTTACATTGTAATTACTGCTTTTGTTATTTCCTGTTACACTCTCGCTAGTGGGAATTTCTTGTAGGGCAAAGCCTTTCTTCTACTTAACATATCTAATAAACATCACTCTCTGATTTTTTTTTGCTATTGTTGTTAAATAGATAAGTGAATGGCAAATTGTTAATTATTGAAATTTATCACACTCAGCTGTTTTGGAACTAGCTCTGTTGACAGGCTGATCTGGAACTCAGAGATCCACCTGCCTCTGTCTCCCTGTGCTGGGATTAAAGGCTTGTGCCACTGCAGTCTGGCTTGGCATGTAGTTTTAGATTTGATTAACTAGAACATTTTGGGGATCAAATGCTGGTCCCAACGCGGTTCCTATTTAGAGTCACACTCATTTCTAGGTTTAGTTCTTTTACCTGTAAATGGAATCCTTACTAGATGCTTTCTCAAGTTTCTTCTTCCTCCTCCTCTTACTTCTTCCTCTCTCCTGCAGCTCTTCCCAGACCCCATCCCAGCATTGCATCTTTTCCCCACTTCAAGACCAATTTATGTTGCCCAAAAACTCTCGGATGCATTGTCTCCCACTGGAGCTGAGTTAACTTACCAGGGGTTACTACTCTCTTAGAGACAACTGTCTCTCCATCTACCGGCAACTAACAATTGCCAATAGCTCTACAGTTAGTAGTGGGATTATATGCCCACTCCTCTCTCCATGCTGAGGTTTGGTCTGGCTTGGGCTTGCACAAGTTTTATGCATACTATTGCAATTGCTGTGAGCTCATATGTGCAGCTGCCCGATGTGTTCAGAAGACGCTGTTTCCTTATGGTCATCTACTATGCCTGGCTCTTACATTTTTGCTTCCTCCCCTTCTGCAATGATCCCCAAGCCGTGTGTGTGTGTGTGTGTGTGTACATGCGTGTGCATATGTATGTTATAAATGTTCCCTTTAGGGCTGAACATTTTGCAGACTCTTAGTCTCTACCTTGGCCACTTGTGGGTCTGTGTTAATCACCATGCACTAAAAATAGAAACTTCTCAGATGAAGGTTGAGAGATGCATTGATTTGTGGGTATAGCAGTAAGTCATTAGGAGAGTCTATTTAGTAGACTAATAGTAGTAGGTTCTCTCCTAGGGCCTATGACCTGCCTAGCCATAGCCTAATAATGGTGCCAGGTATGGGTTTTATCTTGTAGAAAAGGATTGAAATCCAATTGGAAAGTGGTTGGTTAATGTCTTAGTTACTGTTATTTTGCTATGAAGAGACATCATGACCAAGGCAACACTTAAAAAGAAAGCATTTAATTGGGGGCTTGCTTACATTTCAGAGGGTTAGTTAATGATTCAGAACACACACACACACACACAGAGACAGAGACAGAGAGACAGAGACAGACACACAGAGAGAGATGGCTTGGCATGGGCTTTTGAAAGCTCAAAGCCCAACCGCAGTAACACCTTCCACCTACTAATAAATCTCACCAGTTCATCACCTGGGGGATTAAACATGCAAATACACGGGGCCATTCTCCTTCAAACCACCACAGTCACTCTTTGTTCCAGTGGATGTCTGTGACTCTGTTGCACTACTGCCTGTCTTTCCAGGCCACTCACTGTTGTAGCTTAGAGGGCTTCACACCTGGCCACGATTGATGGCTGTTTTCTGCTCTGGAAGTGTGCACTGCACCTTCCAGCACTATGAAAGCTAGCCAGTAGGGATGAAGCTTCCAGGTCAGTACCAGTTGGATTTCATCATGTTTTCTGACTTAAGCATGTGGTGTCTTCAGCAAAAAGGGTTTTACCATCAAATTCTAGAGGGTAACCAAGAGCAATTGCAATAGCCTGTAATGTTGAGGGGAGGGGGTTGGATCTATGGGACTTCACCGACCAACACCTCCAAAAGAAGTAGCCCATTCTGGCACTGGGCCTATCATTTGTTAGTTTCTGCTGTCTAGTAGAGACACTTACTGTCAGAACCCTTAGAACTGGAGTTTCAGATGGGTGTGAACCACCCTGTGGGCGCTGGGAATCAACCCCAGCAGCCAGTGCTTTCACCGCCGAGCCATCTCTCCAACCCCTCCTGCTTGTGTTATGATGATTAATTTTTTTTAGCCCAAACATGATCATTTATTTCACATTTATTAGTTTTGGGGGCGTGCACGTGGAGGTGGAGGACTACATCCACGATCCGGTTCTCTTCTTCCACCATGTAGGTTCCGGGGACCAAAACTCAGGCCACAATGTTTAAGAAGTGCCTTTACCCAATGGCCTCTGTATCTGATGGCTTTAAATGCCAAACGAGTGAATTTTATTAATTCAGAGAAGAAAGAAGCTTATGTAGGGTGGTAAGGTCTGGGAGAGCTCAGGGAAAAGGCGTCCTCGGTGGTAGTAATGTAGGTGGGTAGCAGGCTGGTGGCTTAGAGTGCAGGAGGAGAGAGGTCCCAAGCACCAGAGGGGTGATTGTTAGTGAGCAAAGTGGCGAGGGTGAGAACGGGAGAGGTAGATCTGAGATGGAGGGAGGTTAGTTTTAGCAGAGCGATGCTGTGTGATAGCATCATGGGATGTGAGCCTAGAAACAGGGAGGGGCACCCTCAGATCTTTGAATGCGGAGTTAGTCTTCCCTTCCAGGAATAGAAAGCTGCTGAAGATTTTGTTTCACTATTACAACTTCAAAATAACCAGGTGACAGGGAAGCAAGGGGAGGCGTGGCAAAGCAGTGGCAGGGGTCTGGGCACGAAGCAGGGAATGTCAGTATTGTGGGGGTGGCAGGGGTCTGGACACGAAGCAGGGGTGTCAGTATTGCAGTGGTAGCAGGGGTCTGGGCACGAAGCAGGGAGTGTCAGTAATGTGGGGGTGGCAGGGGTCTGGACATGAAGCAGGGGGTGTCAGTATTGCGGTGGTGGCAGGGGATACAGGTGGGGAA